TGGTAAAATTTAGCCGTGGCTTTGAGAATTTTTACTAGTGACGTATTTTACTTTATGCATAAAATCCTGTTGTACCATGGAGATCATATGATAAATGATCGACCTATACTCTACCCTTAATGATGAAAGGAAAGATGATGTCAATAATGAATTGAAAAGTTATAAAAAGTTTTATCAAAAGTTATGCTTTATTGCTTGATACAGTTGGTCTTTAAATATATTTTAGATTTTAGAAGCATTTACATGACTACTGGAATGTTTACACCCTTATGGAGAAGTTTACATACCCATTCCTTAGTTACTCTTGTGTGATTATGCAAGTCAGTGCTTGTAATCGGTTTAAACAGCTGTATTTACACCCTTACAATCACATTTATATACCTTGAGTGATATTCATATGATTAATCCACCAAGCCAATCTATCATTACTATTGTTACCAGATAGAGAATCACTAATAAACTAAATTCATATTTGCATCAATAATATAACTATTTTCTAATTATGTATATGATCCAACAATAATATTGTAAATTTTATTTGGAGTTTGCTATTTATCACCACTGATGATCATCACCAGTATATAATTAACCAATTAAGTTGCAAGATCAGATGTAATGTGTAAATTAATTTTGTGTAATAAAAACAAAGAATTTTTAAAAAATTAATTATATCTTAAAATTTTATTTATGAAACTACCTTTTAGGCCTTAACAAAAAAAATTTCTTGCAAAATTTTACTATAATCTTTGCCTAACCTAATATCATATCCCCACTCTTACTCTAATATTAAAAAATTAAACTTTTGTTTTAAAAAATTACTTTGATTTATATGTTACATCTGTAAATTACACAATTTTTGAATGTGTGCCAAGTTGGTGGCATACAAGCTACAGTAGTACCAATCAGTCTGATCACTATCTCTGGGTCTAACCAATCTAATTACAATATCATTAAACTTCACAAATGACTTTAATTAATTATGCAAATTTGAATTACTTTATGTACTGTGTACATAATTAATATTAGGTTCAAATTGAAATATAAAAGGATAATTTTCTTTTTAAGTAACTTCTTTTTCGTTTAACAATTAACCAAATCAGTACATTGACCTACACCTATTGTAACTTTGCATACTTTTATTATTGTTATTTGTACGTATAAAGCTTTATAAAATGGTGTGTATAAGGTAGTGATTTGAACCGAGAAAAATTTCCTTAATCAGTTAACCGAACTGAATTATTTCATTCAACTGATTGCCAACCGGTTAAGATTAACTATCTACTACCATCAGAAATTCTCAGAGCTTTGCTCTCTTGTCTTTATGTTTATTCATTTTGTTTTCAGAACTTTTTAGACCCTTTACTCTCTCCTTATATCATTTTCATATTATATTGATTCTGCCAACCGATTACCAATTCTTAACCGGTTGTATCGGGTCAACTGATTAAGAATTTTTTCAATTGGTTAACTGAAAATTATTCAGTTCAGGTTGATTAACCGATTATAGGCCAACTGATTCAAATCACTAGTATAAGGAATTAGCAAAAATTATGACTGATTGTTTTTAACAAAATAATTAATTCCATATGAATATTTTTCTAAATGGACCTTTTTTTTAAAAAATAAAACAATAAATAAATAAATATATAGATACTTTTTGTTAAAAAAAAAAGACTTTTTTTAAAAAATATTATTTTTTTAAAAAAAAATCGTCTTTTTATTAAATGTATATTTTTTAAAATTATTTTTTAAAATTGTTTTTTTAAAAACCTAAATTCATTTTAGACACTTACCTGAAATGTTTTACCAGAACTATTAAAATCTATACTTCTTCAACAATACACATATATAATAAAAACTTAAAGAAATTGCCATTGTATAAAACTGCTGAAAACTTTGAAATATTGCAATTAGAATTAAATAGATTTGTAAATGTCAATAATAAAGAAAATGCACAAGAATGGTTTCAAGCCTTTGAATTACATTCAAAGATAATGATGCTACAAACCAAAGGTTATGCTGTAAAGGGAAATCGAGTACTCTTCTGGGAAAAATGACATTGTGTTCACAGTAATACAGTTAAAAAAAATAAGGTAATCATGAAACCAAGAATCCCTAGTCAATCCGAGCATGAAACATAAACTATGATGCAAACATTTATCTTAGATTGGAAAGATGGCATCTTGAACGAAGTCATCCATTAGAAGATTTATACATAACCATATATAATTTGCAGAATCATTAAGTTATCAATATGTAAATAATAATGTGCGAGAAAAATACTTAAAATTATTCAATGATGGTTATTCCTCAGCATCAGTGCTCTACACTTATGAAGATGAACTTCCTCTTCATACTTCAAATGACAATGAATTCCTTAATTGCTTGCAGACCGATCTAGCAATCCTAATTATAATTATGTAGCTAGATTATATTATTAATATTGTAAAACCATATTAGGAGATCGCAATGGTGTAGGAATATTTAATTGTTTAACAGAATTAGTTAATGATTATAACAATTCAGAAAATGATCAAGCTGTATTACAGAAATATAATGTATATACTGGAACTACTTTTATTCTCTATATTATAACTAGATTAATGTGCTAAGTACATAAGAAGATTAAACAAGCTGACGAATTATGTTATGTGGATTCATCTGCATCATTTGACTCACACTTCAATTACTTTATTATATACAAGCTGCACTATCGGTGCACTCTCTCTTGGATTGATTTTAACTTCAGATGAATCTGAAGTTACTTTAGAAAAGGCGGTAATTAATCTATTATATACTGTCTGTTATTTTATAAATAATTTAATCTTATTTAACTAAAATAAACTCTTTATAGTTTAATTTATTAAAAACGATTCTTCTACTATATGCCTTTTATGAACATAGACCCCAAGTAGGACCAGCAGTTATACTTACAGATGATTCAAGTGCTAAACATAATGTGTTAGAACTTAGCTGGCCACAGAGGATTCGTTTATTATACATATATATATATATATATATTTTATTTTTTTTTTATTTTTTATTTTTTTTTAATCTACTATTACAATAAATGTAAAACTTTATTTTTTTAAAGCGAGTCAGATCAAATAAACAAAGTAATCAACGATACTATAAGTGAAGAAATCAACGATACTATAAGTGAAGAAATCAACAATACTATAAGTAAAGAAATCAACAATACTATAAGTGAAGAAATCAACGATACTATACTTGATACTTTTCTGGAAGAAATCAGTAACGATTATCAAAATGGTGGACCACAGTTCCGTGCAGCATTGGATAAATTTTCCAAACAATATCGTGCATCAAAAGCACTTTCATTTGCCCGTCTAACTTCCTTTCTTTACAACAATAATTATATGGATTCAGCCCGTATTAAAAGTGGTGCTATGATTCGCGTTCAAGTTGAATATACAAAACGGCGTTCTGAAGCTTCTGGTGGCACCAGACGAAGGTTACATAACAAAGCAAATAAAAGTAAAGAAAACATTGACCCCCAGGTTATTCCAAGTCGAAAGAAAAGAAAGCTCAGTAAAAAAGAATATAATCTGGGCAAAAACATTCTAAACAATCAATTAAATTGATTTATTTAAAACGTTTATTTTTCTGCTTTCGCAATTTATTGTTTGAATAATTTTTCAATAATAAATAAATTTAATGCTTTTTAAAATTTCAACATTTGTCGTTATCGTTATCGTTATAATTTGTCAAGTAATTATCGTTATAATTTGTCAAAAATTTATAATTTATCTTTATTGCATGATCGTAAATTCGCTTCGAATTTTAGAATTTAACACGTGACAATCGGTCACTTGTGGCTTATGCGCCACCAACATGGCACACATTCAAGAATTGCGTGATGATCACCAGTGACGATATGTAGTTATTTTGATTTTATTTATAGAATATTAAATTAAAATTTAACTTTAAAATAAAAAAAAAAAGATTTTAATCGCGGGCAAATACTTCAAGAAAATCTTGAAAAAATGGAGAATCTTCAATAGGATTACTAACAATAGCGTCAATTGCAACTTTAAGATTTGCAATTGTACTGGTTTTAGAAACTACAAACTGCCCATCATCATTCGGGTTTCCATTACAAGTAACAGCCAATGAACGATTCGTTACAATTTTCGCAACACCAATATTTTTAACAACAGCGATTGCTTTAGGGTCCCAAAGAGAATAACGGTCAAAGAATACAGAGACCCCACCAAGCCATGTTGTACGAATAATAGATAAAAGTTTATACACAAACTTGCCATAAAAACTATTGAGTTTTGCGAGTTTGTCAAAAAAGGCAAGATTAAGTGGAGTTTGACTTGTAAAGTCTAATGGTATCAAAGTAATATCCAAATCAGAAGCAAGCAATTCTTGAGCAGCAATACAATCAAAAAAAACATTAAATTCAGCACGGGTATTATTTGGTTCGATAAATACATTTCCAGGAACTTCTAAAGCGCCACCCATCCAGAAAACTTTGTCGATTTTTGCCGAGTAAGTTGGGAAAGCACGTAAAAGAAGCGCAAGATTGGTAGCTGTACCAGTTAATATAAGTATAGGTTTTTCTCCAGTTTGCTCAATTGTAGTATCAATGAGATCAGCAAATTCCTTAGTTATATTAAAACCTTTAAGAGCGTCATACCATAGCCGTGTTGATAACCTAAGCTGTCGATTAATACCAAGTAGCAAATCACTATCACGTCTTCCATTTTGTCCTTCTGGTGCTGAATCTTTATAACTGCAACCTGGAGTATTCAAGTTGCATAGGGGATAATCCGCGCCAAGTATGACTGGAAGGTTTTTGTCAGGATAGATATCATCCAAAATATCAACAATATTCTGCGCAGAAGCTATCAATAAATATTATTATTACCTTTGCTTAAAATGGCAATTTAACGACACTATTGAAATACCTGCATGAGACCATCCGTCACCTCCGTAAGTAACACCTCGTATATCGAGTTCCTTAGATTTAAGCGCGTAAAGAATTGCAACAAAATCGTCAGTGTCACCATCTACGTCAAAAATCACAGGAATTCGTTTTTTGTGATGTTTATCATTAGCGATTGAGAAGCCAATGAAAATAAAAAGAACAATAATGACAATGTGTGTGTTAATATTCATTTTAAGATACTATATTATTCATATATTACTATCTTGAACGTGATGAGCGAATACAAGTGTGTATTTGATTCATCAGCATTAAATATATTTTTTTAATTATCTTCTGAATATATATAAGCATTATGATAGATACAGTAGATCAGGTTGATGTTGCACTAAGAATAAGTGAGTATCTTTGCCTGTTTCAATGAAAGTTTACCCAATTTTAGAGGTATCCGATAGTTATTCCCCAATAGGTCATTTACCCGATATCATATAGGCGACAATTTAACATTGGGTCAATTGCAGGTACGTACGTACGTACGTACGTACGTATATATTGTTAGTAAGATTTCACCTATGTGATATCGGGTAAATATTCCATGGGAGAAATGATTGTGTATTTAATATACACTTTTAGTCATGCGACTAGGAATGGCAAAAAGTTTTTTGTTTTAGTTGTCAGAATCGATTCATATTTTTGTCTAATTGTTATAATCGTTTGTAGAAACAATTAAATATTTTTAAAATCGATCCTAAAGCATATAGTCGTTTTATTCAATATTTAAAAATCCAAATTTCTCTTCGTCTTAATACAAGAAAAATAAATGGCTATGTGTTTGTTATCAAAAATTATAGGGCACATTATTTTATTAAAACTTTAAGCCTATAGTTTGTACCCAGCCACCTGTTAGTAGAGGCCTGCATGGACCTAAAAATTTGTACTTTTGCTGGCCCGAAAAATAAAATTTACATATGATCATATGCTATACACTTAACAAAGCTATTTTAATATAAATTATTATGGTATGTAAATCTGTAAATTTTTTTAGATAATTATTGCAGTTTGCATAAAGTTGTGACCTATTTAGGTGATTTTCTGATTATAAATACGGATGTCGCTTTTGAAAAATATTGACATGTGAAATTTCCCATTATCACGAAAATCACAGCGTTATACTTAGTGTTGTAGGCGAAATCTAAAGGTTTCACCATAGACAAAGGGCGAAACCTAATTTCGATTTTCGCCAAAAAAAAAATTAAAATGCCGAAATGGCGAAACTGGCGAAACTGATAAAAGGTGACGATACTGGTAAAAGATGGTAAATCTAGTAAAAGAGCAAGAATAGAAAGTAATTGAAAGAAGTTAAAACACTTTTATATAATTATCAATCTTTTTTGTTTCTACATATTTGATATCATGTATTATTTATGTTATCAATTTATCAACCTCGTTCTACTAACAGTCAATTAACCAACCAGTTTACAATTGGGGTCTGCCTTGAAAATCACCTTACGACATTTTCCGATCATGCTAATTCGGACAAAGCAGATAAAATATCGGTTTGTATTTATATCCCTATAAAAAAAAATCTCTTGAAATTGTTCGAAAAATACTGAAATTATCCAATTTTTTGTTCAGAAAATCGACTCCGTTCCGAACATTTTAAAGGATGTTTATTGGATGTTTATG